GAAAGCTAAGATGCTAATATAAAACCTGTTAACCTCTTAAGTAGCATGTCTGATAAGATGGCATTTAGTGATTATGAACATTCATTAGGCTGATAAGAAATTATATGTTAATTTATAAATTTTGCCTTGAATTGCAGTCAGGCGGATCTTCTCTTCGCCGACATGTCTGGCTTTGGCTCGAACATGAGATGGATGTGATGCAGCGCATCACCCTTTCCTCGCTGGCCACTAGACGACAAGGCCACTCTGCGAATAATAGCGCTCTACCCAGCCCATTAACACCGTTGGGCCGAAGCCATAGGATTAAGTTGACTTCGACCTCAAGCGCCACGTCATCGGAGTCAAATATCTTACGCCGTCTTGATGAGGCCGGCTTATCAACTCAGGGTCAAGCAGTTCGTCTCTTTGGGGACCTTTCGCCAGTGATGGGTTTTAACTCTGCATTTTCAAGCCTCGGTGAGATGGAGTATCGAGCTTTTTATTTGCTAGTTTCTAGATATTTAATTGTATTCTACTTGCTTTTCCTTTAAATCCTTTCAAATTGACTAATTCATTATTTTTACTAGATAATAATTATCAATTTATCTGATTTAAGAAATATAATTAAATAAACCACTTAATTCTACACTAGAAATCCTCTACTTTTAGTGCGTTAATTCCTCTTATAAGTAAAAATTCACAAATTTTATTCTGATTAGCCATTCTTAGTTCTCAGTCAAAGCAGATACTAAAACTTTTGTCAACACACAATATTATTATCTGCCTATCCTCAAATACTCATGATCACTAAGTGTATTACTAGAATCAAAAATATCTGACGATTCCAAATAAAAATAATTTTGAAATCTAGATAAATAATATTTCAATATGTATTTGACCTCTTCGAATTATTTGAATATTTCATCTCTACGATTTGGCCTTATGATAGCCAGGTGTTTTTCAAAGGAGCTGTATTAGGAACTAAGATCAAGTGTATTCATATAAGATAGGTTTTTGTTATCAGTTATTTTCGAATAATTCTACAATCCGTTCCATGTTGGATAAGGTGATGCAGGACTGACTGTATTAATCCCTAGATGAGAATACCTTTTTTGAAGCGAGATTAAGTGAAATCCTATTCATATAATTATTAAAAAATTAAACTGTCAGTTTTATATAATCTTATGCAACCTAGAGTGAGTAAAATTCCTATTGAATTAAGTCTATCGATTCCTATGAATCACATTTACAATAACAATTTTAGTCTTAGCAATTTAACTTTCCTAGATTGTTGATTAATACTATCTTTTTACCTAAATTTCTAATATTAATTGCCCTAAACTACACGAACAAGGTATTTTATCCTTGTTCACTCATTTTTGATATTAATAATGGCATCCATGAACAAA